AGAAGCAGGCTCCATGCACCGGGAGCCTGACGTGGGATTCGATCCCAGGTCTCCAGGATCACGCCCTGGGCCAAAGGTAGGCACTAAACCGCTGCGCCACCCAGGGATCCCCTGAAGTTCATTTTCATTACATTATACCTGTTTGGGTTTTGGTGGTGGTGGTTGTATTTTTTTGTTTGTTTGCATATTATACCTGTTTTTTAAGTCTCAGTTTTATAATTAATTATTGGCTTGGCCTTTTGGAACTTTAGTATAGAATGTTAAGTATAGAATGAAGTTTCTTAGGGCAGCAACTCTTCTGTTACTAAATGCAGTTAATCCTATTTGAGATGGGAAGCCTTATTTACTATAGGTCAGAGGTGAAGCATACTGTTTCATGGAGCCAGATTGTAAATATTTTAGGCTTTCTGAGTCATGGTCTCTGTTGCAAGTACTCTGACATTGTAGTGAGAAAGCAAACATAGGCAATATGTAAATGAATTCCAGAAAACTTGCATTTGGTGGGATTTGAATAGGGACTATAGTTTGCCAGCCCATGCTCCAGATGGCTGTTTGGTCTGTCAATCTAGAGGGTGAGGTAGAGGTGTATAGTACATAAAGAGTAGGTGGAAAATAATATTACCTGGTTGGAGGTGGCATTTGGGTTGGTTACTGGCTAAAAGCTAGTGATTGCTTTCAGGATACCGAATAATGTTTTTTATCTTTTTCTAGATTTGATGTGGCTAGCATGATGTCTGTTACACTCAGTTGTGATCATCGAGTTGTGGATGGAGCAGTTGGAGCCCAGTGGCTTGCTGAGTTTAGAAAGTACCTTGAAAAACCTATCACCATGTTGTTATAATTAACCCAAGAATTTCTAGACTCTCCCAGGTCACAGTGGTTCATTCTTACCAAGATACATATATGTTACTACACAGGTGGTTCTTTTTATTTTAAAGTTTTAACCAGTTATTTTTGAGTCTGTCCAGATAAGTTATTTGTAATGGGCATTACTGAATTCTTTTAAATGCCAATTACACCCACATATTGTACACATTTAATGAACACCAGATTTTGAGCTGTGTATTCCTAGTCAGGGGAACATGTGGCCTGGCCCTTTGGTGCTAAGTACTTCCATTGGGAAATGTAGAGGTAGAATTGTGGTTCCCTGTTGAAACAGATACATAAAAGTAATCTGGATGAAATCTTGAGGTTTTGAAATGTAATTGCCTCAAATGTTTTGCTCAGATTTGAGGGAAAGAGAAGTCAAGGAAAGAAGCTCATTCTCTTGGATTAAGGGTTTGAATTAAAGCTTGATTTTGGAATTCAACCCTAATTTGAATTTTTCTGTTACATGATCTTGGTTTATCACGGATGGGAAGGGTAGAGAACTTTAAGGAAATTAAGTAAAAATTTTAAAGTTAACATTTTCTTAGACTTCTTCAACCAACTGTCCTTTATTTTTCTATGAATCCCGAAATGGTTGTTTTCACCTCTTGAAATGAATATACAAATATAAACCAGCTACTTGGTATAAATGAGAATTTGTGTGGGTATTTATTTAAATGACTTACACTTATAATTCTGAGAGAATTTAAAATTACATTCAAATAAAATAATATGCTTATAGAATTTAAAAGAAAGTAGAAATTATTCCTCCAAGATGAACTGGTGGTTACTTGCAAATGAACTTCTCAGAATCTGTTACTCAAATAACTTTGGAAAACTGTATCAAGTAACTGAAATAAGTGTATATATGTAAAATATGGTTTCTAGTGAGATATGTGCCAAAGTCCATTTATCACCAAGTCCTGTCTGAAAGGAAGAGTGAGAGACATTGGTAAGCAGTTGGGAGAGCTAAAAGAGTAAAGTGGTCATTTCTACTTGGATAAAGTAAAAAATGTTCAGTGTGTTCAAAAGTGTTCTGTTTTTTCCACCCAGTGTTGTCTCATGTATAATAGAAAGTCCTAAAATTTTATTGGAGAGAAAATAATTTAGGTTGCTTGCTGCCTTATCAGCCTAAATATTTTTTTCCATTTTGTTACGATTTGCCTTTCTTCTTAGGGGAGGGGAAGTGGAGGAGGTGATATTCAGGATAATAAAAATGAATTTGGAACATCATAATTCCAGACTTTCTATTGAATTTATGTGCTTTCATAAATATTTGGAATTGTTTATGACTATTTAAAATAAATCTGACCGGTGTTTCTTTGTATATGTGTGGAGCAGTCCCCTGGAATTTAGGTCTTTCAGTGTGGAATCTATTTCTAAATGTTATTACATGGTGCACAAGTGACACTGCATATATTTCAGAATATTTCCCTTGCTGTATTATTATAAAAGCAGTACATTAAATTGATTTTTTGGTAATTAGTAATGTTAGCTTGAATTGAAGATTATGCAGAAGGAATAAGCTTATCACAAGGGACCATCAATCTGAGCCACGTCTGGTTCAAATACATAAAACTTCAAAGATAATTCATTCTTGGCAAATGCTTATATGGCTGTTGTTCCCTTGAAAGAAAAATAAAAGTTGTCTCCTAATAAAAATTATTCTGAATTAAAAATTAATCTGAGGTATAATCTAAATCTGGATTCAGTCTATTTCTCTTACCAGAATTGAAAGCAAAAAGTTAAAAGTTTTGCTGAAATTATTTAAAAATTAAACTATGTTTTCAGTGTGTCTTGTCTAATTTTTGATGAGTTGATAATTATTTTTCACATTAAATGATTAAAGCCAGAGATAGCTATATATATGTGTATACTCTTAATACAAGTGCATTTTAAGCATGTGGAATTAGTAAAATAAAGGATATAATCTAACACTTAAAGCTCTTGGGAGTTACTGAAGCACCTCATGGTGGAGTGTGCCACATAGCAAGATAAAAGCATAGTCTGGCCCTGTTAGATATTTACCACAACCCTGAGGTTTTTGAGTGAAGTTACGTTATCCCAAGGCATGGTCTGAAAAAGCAGTTAACTAGCCTGAGAGATCATATGAATGTGTTGCAAGGAGTATTCATCTAGTAATGCACAAGCCCTGGAATATTTGGGAAAATAATCATTACTGATAATTCTCTAAAACCAAGTTTGTAAGGGCACCCAGTTGAGTGTCCAACTCTTGGTTTCACCTCAGGTCATAATGTGCAGATGGTGAGATTTGAGCCCCTATTGGGCTCTGCGCTCCATGGGATGTCTGTTTTTCCTCTCCCTCTCCTTCTGCCCCTTCCCCCTGCTTAGGCACTTTCAAATTAATAAATCTTAAAAAAAAAAATAAAACCAAGGTTGTAGAAAAATCTGGTTTAGCATCTCAAATTCCAGTTTCAAGGGAGAAAAATCTTGGTAAGATTCAGATTAAACTATTCCACAGTTATTAATGTTCTTCCTAGGCAAAGTTTTGCATTTTTAGGGAGAGGGAGGAGAAGTTTTTATAAAAATCCACTGAAATAAGTAAAATATTTTGGAAAATAACAAGAATGTAAATTAAAAATTAAGCATGTTAGATCTTGAGATGCATTTTACTAATGAGTACACAAACACCTAGCTGCTGACAAGGGCTGAGAATACCAGAGCAGAAATTCAACCAGTTCTATGTGGTTAGGTATGGCAGTTTTTAGGACACGTTTTGACAATGATTTTGTAGAAGAGAATGTAAAGCGAAAGCATTCCAAGTTTTTTGAGGGATCAGTTTCTTGAGGATACGTTAACTTTAGAACATCATACAGTTTTAGAAAATGTTTCAGATGGTAAGTTACCTGTTGCTGGGAGAATTCAAATCCAGACCAAGTTTAAGAAAGTTACTTGTTTTTAAATATCACACAGCAATTGTTTCTATTCTATATACTGTATTAGTTTCTAAAGTTAGAAAGCTTTAAAATGAATAAGGATTTTATTTTTAAAGATTTTATTTATTCATGAGAGACACACAGAGAGACAGGAAGAGGGAAGAGAAGCAGGCTCCATGCAGAAAGCCCAATGTGGGACTCCATCCCAGGACTCCAGGATCACACCCTGAGCCAAAGGCAGACGCTCAACCACTGAGCCACACAGACATCCCATGCATGAATTCGAATTTTAAAGACTTTATGTTGAACTAGAAACAAAAGGAAGATGTACTGTATCTAGAAAAGATGATTAAGGATGTTTAAGGTTTGAGGTGAACATTGCTTGGGCTATGAAGTTGATACTTTGTATTGAACAACCATCTGACAAATGAATGGAAGTTGATAAATACATCACTTGTGTCTTTTTGAAATTATTTTCATAGGGGATGCCTGAATGGTTCAGTGGTTGTCTGCCTTTGGCTCAGGTTGTGATCCTGGGTTCCTGGGATCAAGTCCCGCAGGGAGCCTGCTTCTCCCGTTGCCTATTTCTGCCTCTCTCTCTCTGTGTGTCTCTCATGAATAAATAAATAAAATAAAAAAGTTTAAAAAAAATATTTTCCTGGGAGAAAGGCACTTGTCCCAAAGTCATATCCTTTTTCTTAGGGTTAGATGTATTTTGCATCTTCTGAGCAATAAGTTACTTAGGAGCAATAAGCAGTCTAGTTACTGTTACTGCATCACTGTATCCAGCTCACAGACTGACTTATTTTATTTATTTATTTATTTGTTTGTTTGTTTTGATTTTATCCATTTATTCATGAGAGACACAGAGAGAGAAGGCAGAGACACAGGCAGAGGGAGAAGCAGGCTCCATGCCGGGACATGGGACTTGATCCCGGGCCTCCAGGATCACACCTTGGGCTGAAGGCAGGCGCTAAACCGCTAAGCTACCAGGGCTGCTCGGCAAGTCCATATTTAATATTAAAAGATCTGTCTGGGTAGCTTGGACTCCTCCCACCAGAGCTGTTTCATAGAAGCATATGTTTGCATAGAATTACATTGGCCCTGTAACTGTATAGCCAGAGGAAACTTTCATTGCTTCACTTCTTGGTAATATAAAATGTACAGTGTGGGATTTATTCCTGATGTAAAACTTTGCTACTGACAACCAAGTAAACCAGAATTTCAACCAGTAAATCAAGAATTTTCACAATTTACTTGGAAACACAAGAATTTTCCCAAATGACAATTTGCTACTTTAAGAGAAATAGCTTCAAAACCATCTATCATGGCAATACTATTTAGTTTCTGCTTCTAGCCAAGTTTGAGAAGAAGGAGAAAAAGACAAACATAAGTTGATGAGAAAATCTCATTCCATCAAAAAGAACTCTTAGAAAATACTAATGTTTCAGGTAAACCATTACTTCTTCACCCATAATGTCACCCATAATGAAGGTCCTATTATTCACATGTCTTTAGTCAGCACTGAAAACCCAAAGCAGATGATGCTCTTATACCAATGGCATTGTGATGATTAATGTAGCTTTCTCTTTGATAAATTTGGCTGTAGTCATTTCAGTATCCACAGATTCTGGAAGATTCAGATGTAATCTGTACTTCTCAGAGACCTCAATCAATAAATCATCCTATTTTAAAAGATGAAAAGAGAAAGTATTTCCTGGTTAAAATATGTGTTATTGTGTCATTCCCAGTTATTCACTCCTTTTCCATAAGAGGAGGATCCCACTTACTGCCATGTGACTTGCAATGAGCTGTACAGTTGCTGTTGTAACTCCCTGAGGTTTTGAGGTTTTTTTGTTATTGCTGCTCAATACATCAAAAGTTAACTGATACAGTGCCATAAGTTGGGTGTTGCCATCCTAGGTTATGTGGCATTGACTTTGTGGCTGACCAGCAAACAGTGAGGAAAATTTACTGACAATAGGAAAAATGGTGATCTGCGTTTTATAGTGATAAAACCTTTCTGTGGTAGTTTTATCACAGTAATTTAAAAGACGTACCTTGTTAATTTGTGGCTTGAGGTAAAGAAGTGTGAAAATAGAATGTTGGTTGCATGCATTGTTTCCATTGACTACATTTAATAAACTACTACAAAAAGAGACGAGCTTAGAAAACAATTTCCCAGTTTGCAAGTAGTATTTAAAGAATACAGAGCCCAGAAATTCTAAGACATCAGGACTGAGAAATGGAACTAATTTTTATTTTAACCCAGTAAAAAATAAAACAAATTATTTCATAGCAACAAAGACTGATTAAGACAACCTAGCAGTAAAGATTGAATCACACATCATATATTACACTCTTTGTTAAAACCTCTCACTGGCTTAAGGTGGAGCTCAGTTAATCCTTACATTTGGCTCACAAGACAGCAATTAAGCAAAAAAAAAAAAAAAAAGGCAACTGAAAAATGAACATGTCTAATAAAGAATTATGGGGAGTGGCACTGATTGGAATCAAATAAAACGCTACCAGCCTAGACTAAAACATTTAAAATGACCTTTCTATGCCCATCATTCCCAAAACATTTAACAGAGTAAACTGCTCAGCATGTAATGGTGGTATACCCTCCAATGTTCTTTTCCGATGTGGCCAGTGTGAGTCAGAAAAAGGGAAACACCATCCAAAGAATGAAGCTGAAAGTCCTGGAATACAATGGAACTAGGGGGCTAGGTAATCAAGGAATCTTGTAGTGGAACTTAACCAAGAACATCCTCTACCTGCAGGAGAGATACCCTCTTAGTATCTGCCTATCAGGATTTCAGAATTGCTGTGCACCAGTAAGCCTCGTATTTTCCCCATTTCCAAACTGAGACTGTTAATTATGGTTATCCTCTCTCCATTCCAAATTGTATGGTGCATGGGGCTATGGCAGTAGACTACTTGTCTTTTCAGCTCATAGGTCTGTGTTCAGGAGGAGAATAGCAGATTACAATGGCAAAATCCTATAGTTTATAGAGTCTGATACTGGGATTAGGAATAACTTTCTTGGAGAATGTTGCAAATTTTTGTCATCTTGAGAGTGGACTGTAGCAGATTCTAGGACTTTTGCCAATTTTTTTGTCTTTTTGTGTTAGAGGGGTATACATTCCTGCCATTTGAAGTCCGTGACTACCTGTAAGAATATTCTTCCCAGCCCTATTGATGGAGGATTTAGCCTTGTGCCTTAGCTTTGGACAAACAGAATGTGAGTAAAAGTGATATATACTATGTCTGAGAGAAAGTTTAGGATCTATTGCATGGCTTGGCCATTTGTTTTCCTCTTCCATGAGAACGGCATATCTCAAATGGGAATTCCTCCTCCACCTGTATCTTAAAATGTGCAAGACTCCTGGAACAGAGCAGGTCTACCTGACGTGTAACCTGAGCAAACTGCTATAAACCACTGAGATTGTGGAGTTTGTTACTACAGCATAATATATTGTGTTGACTGATACAATTTATGGTATTACTTATTCGACTTACCTCAGAAACACTAAGGTCACAGAGAGACACTGAATTAATACCAGGCAATTCAACTTTTATTTCAATTTTCAGTGGTTTCTCCTTCTGGTCAGCCACAATTTTTAATTCATAGGTTGGTTCCTTCATCTCTACCTGGATCTCTGTACTGGAAATCTCCTCAATCAGACATCTTTTTTTGCTTGAAACTTCGCCTTTTGGCAATAAAAGTTGAAAGTGATCTGGATTGCTCAGAGTACTACTTATCTGTTCAAAGGTTAGTTCTTATAGAAAAAAAAAAGAGGGAGATTAAATCCTAAGATTAATCAACAACATAAAATATTATCAGGCTATGAACTGTAATAGATGTGGTGTTAGCCAAAATGGCAAATAAAACTGAAACTAGGGATCCCTGGGTGGCGCAGCGGTTGGTGCCTGCCTTTGACCCGGGGCGCGATCCTGGAGACCCAGGATCGAATCCCACATCGGGCTCCCAGTGCATGGAGCCTGCTTCTCCCTCTGCCTGTGTCTCTGCCTCTCTCTCTCTCTGTGTGTGTGTGTGACTATCATAAATAAATAAAAATTAAAAAAAAACTGAAACTAAATTTGTTTGGGAATCTTAAAAGAATCTTGGGATGCCTGGGTGGCTCAGTGGTTGGGCATCTGCCTTTGGCTCAGGGCATGATCCTGGAGTCCTGGGATCGAGTCCTGCATTGGGCTCCTGGTGGGGAGCCTGCTTCTCCCTCTACCTATGTCTCTGCCTCTCTCTCTCTCTCTCTCTCTCATGAATGGATAAAACCTTAAACAAAAAAATCTTAAACCCAGGGCACCTGGATAGATCAGTTAAGCATCCGACTCTTTTTTTAATTTTTAAAAAGATTTTATTTATTTATTCATGAGAGACACACAGAGAGAGGCAGAGATATAGGCAGAGAGAGAAGCAGGCTTCATGCAGGGGGCCTGATGTGGGACTTGATCCCGGGACTCCAGGATCACACCCTGGGCTGAAGGCAGACGCTCAACCACTGAGCCACCCAGGGATTCCCCCAAAGCATCCGACTCTTGATTTCATTCAGGTTGTGATCTCAGGGTTGTGAGATTGAGCCCCGAGTTGGGCTCCATGCTCAGTGGGGAGTCTGCTTGAGATTCTCTCTCTCTCTCTGTCTCCTCTCTCTCCCTCTGCACCCCCCAAATAAATAAAATCTTAAATAATCTTAAAGAGCTGGGTTAAAAAGTTTGCAGGATTTAAAAATGTTTAAGGACATGTTAATATTTCTAACATCTAATCTTTATATTTTTCTATCTTAAGTTTCTCATCTTTTAAAATCATGATTTTTGGTTTGCAAAATGTACACAGGATCCAAAACAATTTTAGATCAGTTAAATTTCCCCCTTACGGTCATTAACTTACCCTTTCTCATTTTCTCTCTTAAATCTGTAGGGTCAGCTTGCATTCCCATCAGATTTTGTTTCATCCTTTCAATGCTTCCTTTTATTCTAAATTTAGCGATACTGTAAGAGTGTGAGAGAGTGAATTGGAATTTTTCCTCGATGCATTTCATGGCCATCCGTATTAACTGGTCTTTTTTCACTTGGTCCTTTTCTGCTGCCTGGAGAACATCAGGATTGTAGGCAACACTGACGACTGTATAAACATCTGTGTTTAATTCAGAGGATGTGAAATGAAGACAACTTGTTTCACTAATGATACTGTCAGGTAATATATTAAGTCATAATCTTGGATAAAGCTAGTAAGCATAAATTCTGTATTTTTCAGAGATAATCACAATGGTGCTCAATGCAAAAATTTCCAATTAGGGCATTTCTTGGCATTTTATATGGGTCACAATGAGAAAACCTGAGCAGCATTCAATTCATATAAATAAAAGTATGCTTATTAGTTATTAACTACATTATAGCCAAATAAAATATTTTACTTGTAATGCCTTTTACCAAGTAAAATCTGGTCCATGCTTATTCCCAATAAAGTTTTTAAAATATACTTTCTCTCCCTTAATTCTATGTACCTGATGTCTCAGACATATCTTCTGGTTGGCCAACACTTATAAGTACTGGATGAGTGGCTGATTGAGGAGCGGGGATCCTTTTCCACTGACACAGGTTAATAAAAAGTACTTTTTCCTTTGGTTTCTAAAAAGCAAATAATTTTGCACATCTCAAAACCTAGGGTCTTTTTTTTTTTCATTTAAAAATATCCTAAAGGTAGCTCATCACAGAATTTGGAGTGTGAGAATTTTAGACTCCGAGTAAGCCATTCCATTCATTAAAACTGTGTTTGAGAAATTGTACTGTTATCTGATTTCCTGAAGCCACTGACTCCCAGAGGAACTGGGAGGAAGGAGGGGGCAGTGATCTAAGCAGCTATTCCAGGTATGACCCTGCGTCACCAACTTCCTTACCTTCCCGCGAAGTAAGTTCTCTTTATGTGGAAAACCTCCAACTCTGTGAGTCTCTGTGAAATCATTACATTTTTAAAAAAAGATTTATTTATTCATGAGAGACACAAAGAAGTAGAGACATAGGCAGAGGGAGAAGCAGGCTCCCTGTGGGGAGCCCGATGCAGAACTTGATCCCAGGACCCCTGGATCATGACCTGAGCCAAAGGCAGATGCTCAGCCACTGAGCCACCCAGGTGTCCCACTTGTTTTTTATTCTAATAGAAAATGGCTCACTTTGAGATCTCCAAAATATATCAACTGTGAATTTTCCATTCTTACTCCTTCAATCTAATCTTGCACACTATGTTTCACTCTCCCTTTGGAGTGGTGGTTCCTCTCAAGTTTTGTTACAGTAGCAATAGCTAAAGGTCTTTCAAGTTTTCTTAAAGTAGCAATAGCTAAAGGTAAGTGATTCTTTGATTACTCAGGATTCTTTCCCTCAACACCGCCCGCCCCTGGGTACCAAGGCGACAGACCAGGATCCTGCTTTGTAGACAGAGCTGTGGTTCTGGGGCAGCACAGAGCTCTTTCCCTTCTTTGAGCTGCTGCTGAATGAACTTTTTATAGCTCTCAGGATCACTTTCAGCCAGATCATCTAGGAGGTTCCAGAGCTGAGTAACCTGGGTGAGCCGACCCTTTGAGGAAGAAGACTCCATGGTGGACCTGAAAATAGGCCTCTTGAGTCTGTGGAAAGACAGGGCTTCGGGGAGAAAAAAAGGACGTGTGACTAATGATTTGTTTCTTCTTTTGGAGGAGGAGGCACAGGTCAGGAATTGTTTTGGTGAAGATAGAACCCTGTGTCTAAAAGAGGGTTTTAAAAGAACCACTTTTTTTTTTTCTCAAGATTTTATTTATTTATTTGAGGGAGAGAGAAACAAGCAGGGGGAAGGGCCAAGGGAGAAAGAGAAGCAGAGTCCCCGCTGAGCAGGGAGCCTGACCTGGGGCTCCGCCCCAGGACCCTGAGATCATGACCTGAGCTGAAGGCAGAAGCTTCACCGACTGAGCCACCCAAGAACCCCATCAACACCACTCTTCTTTACCTAATTCCCTAATTATCTAGTCCCCCTTCTTAGGATCTCAGGTTGTCCCCTCAGACCACAAGTCCTCACCTCTGCCTAGACCCCCGCCCGCGCGGAGTGTAGAGTGGTCAAAGTCTGCGTTCCCAGGGACCCAGCCTCTTGCTCAGATCCGGGGTATTGGCTGACCGGTGCCTATGCAGTCCTGACCCTGCCAGAGGCCCCAGGACACGTCCCTCAAAGCTCAGTAGCTGAGAGCATGGCTTCTGAAGGCACAACGCCTCGATCCCAATCGCAGCCTTTGCAGATAATGTAATTAAGTTATATATCAGTTTATGCTCCTGCAAGCGAAGGCGATAATACCTACCTCGTAGGTTACTGGGAGAACGAGCTGTGCTGGTGCAGGGAGGCTGGGACACTTCCTAAGAGCATCCTGTGCCTAGGGACAACCTCCCTCGCCGCCACCCCCCCCCCCCCAGGGGCGTCCCACAGCTGCCACAGAATGAGGAAAAGAGGAGCTGTGCGTCCCCCGAATACTCTACCAGGGCTGATCTCCACGGGAGGCTTCGGTAAAGGACAACCCTTCCAGCGGGCGGCGCACCCACCTCTTCCCTCGGTTCCTTGACAAACCGCGACGCCTGTTACCACGGTAACCGGGCCGGGTACAACCTCTAATTGGGTCCGGAAAGCTCCAGGGAGAACGGTGTTTTCACGTCCAGTTCCGGGGTCTTCCCCTTCTGGTGTTGGGCTTGCTTTTCCGCTGAGGCCGACCCACTTCTTTTCCAGGAAGGCGCCCGCCTCCCTGGCTTCGGCGCCTTTCCACCTCGAGAGGCGGCTGGACACCCTGCCGGGGGGTGCGGGGGGGTGCGGGGGAGTGCGGGGGGGGGTGTCCCTGGGTCTCCAGGGAGTGGGAAGCGTTTCTCCGGAGCACGACTTCCGGCCTGGAAGGGAAGCCCGCTCCCTTGTCTCCCAGACCGATTCCTCCCCCCCAGTCCCCGCCACGCGAGGCTGCGGCGCACGGTATGGGTGTGTTTGTGTGTGTTTGTACGGGGAGGGCGTTTGGAGGGAAGGTTACCCGGAGCTCCGTGGCCGCTGGGGGGCAGGGATCCCGGTGACAGAGACGGCGGCGTATTTTCTGCCTTCCACTTGGAAGCCTCCCCTCCCCTCGCCTCCCGCCCCTCCCCCTCCCCCTCCCCCACCCCTGCCCTCCGGTCCCGCCGGGCGCTCCGGGTATTTGTTGGGGCCCAGGCGAGGGGTGTGCCGGTCCGGAGCGTCCCCAGCCCTTCGGGAGAGCGGCGCCCAGGCCCCGGGGCCGTCCCAGAGGAGCGCGAGCGGGGCATGCCGCGTCCCGCCGGCCGCCGGGTTCCGCGCCGGCGCAGCCTCCGGCCTCAGTCCGGAAAGAGCTCTTGCTGTCGCTGTGGGCTGGGGGAGAGGCAGCCGCGGCCTGGGCCACGGCGGAGGGCACAGTAACCGGTGGGAAGGCTGCGTTTTCACGAAGGACTCGGGTGAAGCTGCAGAGCTGCCTCTGAGCCCTGACTCCTTGGCTTCCTGGGTCGGAGGAGATCTTGTAATGGAGTGGTTCTTCGTCTCACACTAGCAAGATGCCTGATTTCCTCAGGACCGAGGGGTGAGTGAGTGAGCGGTGGGGTGGTTGCTCAAAACCGCTGGGAGATACACACTGAATATCCTTGTCATCTTTTTTTTTTTTTTTTTTTTGGAGGCTTCCGTACAAAGTACAAAGTAAGATTCCTCTGAGTGGAGAAATGTAGGGCGTCTCTGCATCTGATGGCAAATGTTGACACTCGTGGTCCCTGACATCGTCAGATCTAAGTATATGCTTCATCACAAACTGATTTTGGGATTCGAAAGTTGATTTTCTCCTCTGGACTTTGTTTGCTTTAGGTTCTCTGGCCCGGGGCAAGTTATGTATGGCTGAGGGGAATTTCATCTACAGAACAGGAATGAAGATGCTTGCTTTATATAAAACATGGAGTTGTTTTGAGGATTAAATAAAATGGTGCTCTTGAAGGCACTTAATTCCGTGCCGTTTCAAAGGACTTGGATGTCCACTATCTCAGGGCACATTCATCTTCACATTAGTGTGGTCAGGCATTCCCGCACCCCCCCCCCACTTTTAAAAAAATTTCATTTATTTAAGTGGGGGGAGGAGCAGAGGCAGAAGGAGAAGCACATTCCCCACTGAGCAGGGAGGAGGGGATGATGCTGGGTTCCATCCTAGCACCCTGGGATCATGACCTGAGCTGAAGGCAGACGCTTAACCCTCTCAGCCACCCAGGCATCCCCATTTTCCCCTTTGAATGGTGAAGGGAAGACTACCCCTCAGGACCTCTGACTTCTTGTTTAGTGATCTTTCCTTTATCTCATGCTTCTTTATAACATTGTAATAAAAGATAAGGTAATGAAGGAAATTATTGTTATTAAATGTTATCTACTGATTCGTTTCAGATTGAAGAATGTCCCGTGTTCCACTGGGGAAAGTCCTCCTGAGGAATGTCATCCGGCACACAGATGCTCACAATAAGGTGAGACGTACAAACTAGCTATTCCCCAACATTTATTGGGGGTATACAGTGTGCCAAGCATGATTTTGGTACTTTGGAGATGCAAAGATGAATAAAATAGATAATGTATCAATTTGATACATACTATAATGAAATCTGCCTTGGCGTATTAGGAGAGTCTTGGCAAGAAAGCATGGTATTTGAACCGCTATATTTGAATTAGTTTCTTGATGAACAGGTTCAAATTTACCAGCTGTAAAATATCATTCCAGACAGAACATCATGTACTCATAGGGCAACAGAAAAGAGCATGAAGCACTTTGGAGCATGGCAAGAAATTGTGTGCATCCAGAAAGTAAGGAATGTGGGGCAGAGTAGTGACAGAAGATAAGGTTCAAGTGGAAAATTAGAATTGGATTGTGATGCTTGGAGATTGGACTTTTCCTCTAAACAATAAAGAAGCTATCAAAAAAATTTTTTTAAAGATTTTATTTATTTATTCATGAGAGCCACAGGCAGAGGGAGAAGCAGGCTCCATGCAGGGAGCCCAACATGGGACTTGATCCCTGGTCTCCAGGATCACACCCTGGGCTGCAGGCGGTGCTAAACCGCTGCGCCACCGGGGCTGCCCTATCAAATGTTTTTAAGCAGGGTTTTGTATTTTAGAAAGATGGTTTATTAACTAGATTAGGGGATAGATTAGATGGAGTGAAACAATAGAGACACCAGTTAGGCAATTGCAGTGCTCCAGTTGAGAGATGAGGATGAGTTCATATGAAAACAATGACAGGGATGAAGATGAGGAATTAGGAGATAAATCCAAAGAACTTGGTGACTAAATTGAAACATAAAGGGTTATCATTTGATAATTGCAGCTTAATTACAAAATACAGTGATAAGTGAGTCTATGCAGGGTTAAAAAGGTCTGTTGCTGTAGGATTCTACATATTTGAGATTCACTAGGTCAGATTATAATTATTATTATATTTTTTAAGATTTTATTTACTCATTCATGAGAGAGACACAGAGAGAGGCAGAGACATAGGCAGTGGAAGAAGCGGGCTCCCTACAGGGAGCCCAGTGTAGGACTCGATCACAGGACCCCAGGACCACACCCAGAGCCAGAGGCAGACGTTCAACCACTGAGCCACCCAGGTGTCCCTCTGGGTTGGATTATTTAGCCACCCTAGAGAATCCTTAATTTGTTTCTCAGGTTCCTGCTTATAACCTACCCTGTAATGCAATAATTAGTACAGAGTATATTGTCAGTTACTTTTCTGTGATGTAAAATGTTATTCTTAGTAATTTTTTTTTTTTAATCTAGATTCAAGAGGAATCAGATATGTGGAAAATAAGAGAACTGGAGAAACAGATGGAAGATGCTTACCGGGGGACCAGGAGGAAAATGTTACCCAGTAGTTCAAGGTGAAGTTGCAGCTTTGAGAACCAGTATTAATTTAGATCTTGTTCAGAACCTTCAACTTTCATTTAAAAGCATTTTAGTATGCTAAAGATAGAGGAGTTCAGTTCTGTGAATCTTTAAGCCTTCCTTCTTCATAAATCTAGACCAAAGAATAAAAGTAATGGTTATGGTGCATGTGGCTTAACTCTTAGTATTTATTTGCAGTGGATGATTAAAAAATTCTACCTTGAACAATCTTAAAAGTTAAGGATTCTGTGTATCCAGACCTTGTCTGGTGGCTTTTAAGATTTTCTGTTCCTGACTTAGGGTCACTTAGTTATTATTCATTCCTTTCCCCTATTAGTCTTTGATTCTCTCAGTCTTTTTTTTTTTAATTAATTTTTTTTAAAGATTTTATTTATTCATGAGACACACACACACACACACACACACACACAGAGGGAGGCAGAGTCACAGGCAGAGGGAGAAGCAGGCTCCATGCAGGGAGCCCAACATGGGACTCGATCCCGGTCTCCAGGATCAGGCCCTGGACCGAAGGCAGGCGCCAAACTGCTGAGCCACCCAGGGATCCCCTCTCTCAGCCTTTTCTTTACCCCATCTAGTTGCTGTGTTGGGGCACTCAGCTTTTCACATTACCTTTTTAATAATTTCAATGTGAAATGCATATTTATCCAGTGGTCTGTGGAGGTATAGAAATATCTGAATTATTGGAAATATCTCTTGGGCTTCATATGCCTGTTAGTGTAGAGCTGTATGTATGAAAAATGACTAGTAATAATGCTGATTTCTAAAGCCACTGAGGGAATAGTTAATAGATATTTAAAGTGAGTGTGCCTGTGGCATACTCAGGATTTGGAGTGTGATTGGGTGTATGTGAAGGCCTTTTTTAAATTTTTTTTTTTATTTTTTAAAGAATTTATTTATTCATGAGAGACACACAGAGAGAGAGAGGGTGGGGCAGAGACACAGGCAGAGGGAGAAGCAGGCTCCATGCAAGGAGCCTGACGTGGGACTCGATCCCGGGTCTCCAGGATCAGGCCCTGGGCTGAAGGCGGCACTAAACCCCTGAGCCACTCAGGCTGCCCCTGTGAAGGGCTTTCGACAAGAAAGTATTCAGGGTATCCACAGTAAAGAAGGCAGAGGCTCAATATAAAAATAAATATCTTTGCAGTCTGTTTTCTTGCTGAAGATGGTCCTTTGAGAATTTAGAAATAAAGTTGGTGCAGATAATTTGTCTTCTGTTGGTGGTTCAATTCCAAGAGGCATTTCCAGGAACAAAATGTTTTTAGAGTGAATTATCGATACCTGTCATAGTATAATAAATCTTTAAAACATAATCTCTTTGGAAGTGGGGATTCTGATTATCTCTTTCCCGGCAGCTAGAATAGTGCCTAGCATATAGAAGGCCCTTAAACATTTTTGGTAATTCATTAGCTTTCTTAGTGACTTGTTAGTGGATCTTATAAATACAGGCTGTATCCCTTGGTTCTCAACTGTTTTTCTACCCCAGCATACTCATGGGTTAGGCCTTGCTCCTACTGTTATTAAGCCCTCATGATAGCAAATTACTAGTTTTCTGGGAAGAGAGTATATTTCTAGGGTAATTTGAAATGTCCCTAGCTGTGATTATGCTCTGCTTTCCTCTTTGCATGCCCTTGTACTTGAGAATCAGTGAGCTATATAGCATGCCACAGTTCAGAAGTCATTTTGTTATGTATTCCGCAATAGGTTGGGTAGTAATGGTCAGATTTTCACTGAACAACTGTTCAGACTTATAGAGAGGAAGAGATCACGTCTTTTTGCTTGTTTTGTGTTTTTTAAAGATTTTATTCATGAGAGACATAGAGAGAGGCAGGGACACAGGCAGAGGGAGAAGCAGTTCCCATGCAAGGAGCCCGATGTGGGACTCGATTCCAGGACCCCAGGATCACACCCTGGGCCAAAGGCAGGTGCCAAACTGCTGAGCCACCCAGGGATCCCCTATTTTTGTTTTTTTTTTTAAACACAATATCAAGTGGTTTTATTTTCCTTTCAGCGTGTTCAATAGTTTTTTTTTTTCAGTGTTTATTTATTTATTCATAAGAGACAGAGAGGCAGAGACATAGGCAGAGGAAGAAGCCGGCTCCCCATGGTGAGCTTCATGCAGGACTTGATCCCAGGATCCCTGGATCCTGACCTAAACCGAAGGCAGACGGTCAACCACTGAGCTACCCAGGTGTCCCTGTTCAATAGGTTTTATGCATTGACATTCCATAAAGGAAACTCACTGATTGCTTTTCATTGTAAAAGTTCTGCTTTTCCTTATAGCCGGATGCGTAGTGATGGTTTTGATGAAGAAAGTCAAAGAGACTATTGGAGGCCAAAGAATGAAATTTCTGGGGCACTGGAAGATGATTTTCTTAAGGCTAAATCCTGGAACAAGAAGTTATATGATTATGAAGCTAATATGCCGGACAGGTTTGTAACTAAATTCTTGTGACCATTAATAATATTTGGCCTGAGAACGTGTACTTTTAAAAATTATTTTGACAAAAATTTCACACAAATGTTCATTTGTTCATAGCATGATTATCATAATGGCCAAAAAGTGGAAACCCAAATGTCTATCAACTGCTGAATGGATAAACAAAATGTGGTACAGTAGTTCCCCCTTATCCATGGGGGCTATGTTCCAAGACTCCTGGTGGTTGCCTGAAACTGCCTAGTACTGAACCCTATATATCCTCTGTTTTTTCCTATACGTACATACCTATGATAAAGTTTAAATTCTAAACTGGGGACAGTAAGAGATTAAATAAAAATAGAACATTTATAACAATTTACTATAATACAATTTATGTGAATGTCATCTATCAAAAATTGTACTGTACTCACCATTCTTCTTGTGATGATATGAGATGATAAAATGCCTATGTGGTGAGATGAAGTGAAGTGAATGATGCATGCATTTTGAGTAGCACTAGGCTACTCCTGACCTCTTGACAATATGACAGAAGGAGGGCAACTGCTTCTAGAAAGCGAAACTACAGATAAGGGGGGATGAATGGAATGTTACTTGATGGTGAAAGGAATAAAGTACTGATGAATGCTACAACAGGGGTGAGCCTTGAAAACAGGTGAAAAAAGCCAGACACAAAGAACCATTTATTATAGGATTCTATTTATATGATCTGTCCAGAACAGACAAGTCTGTAGACAGAAAGTAGACTCATGGTTGCCATGGGCTACAGGAGAGGGAGGAATGGAGAGTGACTGCTAAGGAATGGAGTTCCTTTTTGGGTGATGAAAATGTTCTGAAATTAGATAGTGGTTGATGGTTGCACAACCTTGAATATACTAAAAGCCACTGAATTGTACACTTTAAAAAAGGGTGAATTTCCTGGCCTGGGAATTACATCTCAATAGGATTGCTGTGTAAAAAAAAAAGTTGTCAAAAAAAAAAAAAAAGTTGTCCCATTGTAGACAGTATTGTTACAAGTTGTTTTTGGAGAAGCACTTCACAGCTAAAGAGCAGGATAGAAGAGTTCCTTAGTGTTTCCTGAGAATGGCAAGTTCTCTTACAAATGGACAAAAGAATCCTTTGTGTCTGAAATAATAACGCAGTACAAAAAATGTAGCCAACTAAGTTACTGAGCTTGAAGATGGGATTGGCTCTATCATTATCTCTATTTCCTTTGTTCTCTGTGCATGTCTGTGTCTGCATGTACTCCTGAGTCTTTTTTTTTTTTTAATTTTCAAAAATGTATGCATTGCTCTAATACATGTAATGAAATATGTCATCTTACAGATGGGGTCACAGTGGTTATAAAGAGTTATACCCTGAAGAATTTGAAACAGACAGGTAAGATAGGCTTTTGAAAAAAAAAAAAAAAAGCTAGAAGCTGTAAGATTAATACCAAGTCTGTACTGATGTATAGTATTGTAAAATTGGGTTCCTAATTTTACAAAGGAGATAACGTTTGCCATTAAAAATGTAACCCAGAAAAATAACAGGCAATTTTGTTGGGAGATAATTGGTATATTGCCTTTTCCTGATTGATGTTCTGCATATATATATATATAATATATATCATTTAGGTTTTTTTTTTTTTTTAAGATTTTATTTATTTATGAAAGACACAGAGAGAGGCAGAGACACAGGGAGAGGGAGAAGCAGGCTCCTTGCAGGGAGCCCGATGTGGGACTTGATTCCGTGACTCCGGGATCATGACCTGAGCCAAAGGCAGATGCTCAACCACTGAGCCACCTAGGTACCCCAGCATTTAGTTTTTTTTTTTTTTTAATAAGATTTTATTTATTTACTCATAAGAGACACAAAGAGAGAGACGCAGAGACACAGGCAGAGGGAGAAGCAGGCTCCATGCAGGGAGCATGATGTGGGACTCGATCCTGGGACTCCAGGAATATGCTCTAGGCCAAAGCCAGGTGCTAAACCGCTGAGCCACCCAGGGATTCCAATATTTAGGTTTTTGTTTTTTTTTTTAAAGATTTTATTTATTCATAGAGATGCAGAGAGAGAGGGAGAGAGAGAGAGAGTAGCAGAGACATAGGCAGAGGGAGAAGCAAGCTCCATGAAGAGAGCCTGACGTGGGACTCAATCCAGGGTCTCCAGGATCACGCCCTGGGCTGTAGGCAGCGCTAAATCGCTGCGTCACCGGGGCTGCCCAACATTTAGGTTTTTATACATAGTATTCAATACAGTAACTCAGTTTGGCAGATTAGAATTTTTACCTTCATTTTAAGAAAACAAAATGAGGAAATAAAACTCAGAGTGATAAAGTCTCATAGTAATCCTTTGTTAAAGCTCTTAGTTAAAAATTCAGATGTTAACCCCTACTTACTTTTTTTTTTTTTTAAGATTTTATTAGAGAGAGAGCATGAGCAATGGGAGAGGTAGAGGGAGAAGCAGACTCTCCCCGCTAAGCGGGGAGCCTGATGTGGGTCTCAATCCCAGGACCTCTGAGATCATGACCTGAGCTGAAGTCAGACACTTAACTGATTGAGCCACTCAGGTGCCCCAGCCCCAACTTTCTATCCAGAATGCTCAATACTAAAATATAAATACGCTTTTTATTTTCTATAGTAAAGCAGTTTCTCTTTTTTGTTAGTAGTGATCAGCAAGATATTACCAATGGAAAAAAAACATCTCCTCAAGTAAAATCATCTACCCACGAGTCTCACAAACACAAGAAGTCAAAGAAATCCCACAAAAAAAAGCAGAAAAAAAAGTCACACAAAAAACAGAAGAAAAGCAAAAAAGAAGCCACAGATATAACAGCAGATTCCTCAAGTGAGTTCTCGGAAGAAACCGGGACTTCTAGTACCAGGAAAAGGAAACAACCACATAAGCGCAAGAAAAAATCCAGGAAAAAGTCTCTCAAAAAATCTGCTTTATTCTTGGATGCAGAAAGTGACACTTCCCAATCGGATGATTCTGCATCCAGCAGTTCTGAGGAAGGTGAGGAAAGAGAGACTAAGAAAACCAAAAGGAAAAAGAGTGAGAAAAATGTTCACATCCCTCTAGTTAACAATGAAATACAAGAGAGGACAAATAAACGCACAAATTGGAAAGTGGCTACAGATGAAAGGTCTGCAGAGAGTTCAGAGGAGGACTAGATGAGGAGGAGACATTCTCCATTTCCCATCTGACTGGTTACTTACAGCTCTTCCACCTTGGGGTTCTGCTAGTGACTATTCCCAGCACAGGCGCCCTGAGGTCAGAGCTGTCCTGTGCCATCTACATACGTTCTGACAGACTTCTTGTCTTCTATTTTGGCCTGTTAAACTTGATCCTCTTACTGTTAATAGGGAATCTGGTATTTTGTTATGAAGTTTTCTCGAAGAGATTATTTTTTGCAATTAATCACATTTAGGGTAGAGTGCATATACAGCAAATTAAAGGACCCAGAAGGCTGAATCCAATAACAACCTGGGTACACTAATTGGGATGTTGAATCTGGGGAAAGCAAGGGCTGGGGTCAAGAGGTGGATTGGAACTGGTGCTGTGTAGAATGTTGTAAGGGAACATCGTGTTGCTGTTTATATAGGTGCCACAACTTGACCTTTTTTGTCTTCAGCCTTGGTGCTTTGATCTTTCTGTATTTTGGCCTCATAGATGTGGTCCAGTTTATTTAATGAGAAGATGAGTATAAGAGCAAAACATTTTTCCTTCATGATAACATCCATAGACGGCTGTTAGGAGTCCAGGGTTTCTGTCAAGTTTCCCTGCTGGACAGGGTCCATAGCTACACTCACTATATCCCTAAACATAGTAATTGGTATAGTAAATGGTTTTCTACTTCCATTGCTGTATATCGCCTAAATGGACTTGTGTTCAAAATTATTTTAGTTATCTTGGGGAAGTCCTCAACCAAATGGGATAAAATTAGGAATTAGTCATGCTCATGGTGCTCTGAACAGGATTCAGGGTAGCAATTGCCAATTCAAATATTTGTTCATTTCTAAATCTATTAATGAACTTGAGATTTTCCCTGAAACTAGGTCGAATCAGTTCCAAAATGAAACAGGCTTCTCAGGGACACACCTACTTCTTCCCAGTCTGCCTTCTGATTAAAGCACCAAGCAGAGACCGTAATATTTCCCTTTGCTATATACTGTGATCCCTACTGTTAAATCCTAAGAAACCAAAATGTCACGGAGAAAAGGCTGGCAGAACACAAATGAATTTGTTCATTATGACAGGATATCAAGTGACCCACCATTGTTTTTCCTGGTTGTCACTTCATGGGCTGCGTAGAAAGCTTGAAAATGCAAGACCTTTAGTTTTGGTTCTGCCACTTATTAGGTACAACATCTGGAACAGGTAAGTTAACCTCCCTGGCCTTACTTTCCCCACGTAGAATACAGAAATGCTTCATGGCAGCAGGACAGCGTAAGACACCAGCAATAGAATATAACAACATTCCATGAGGTGGTAATATTTTATAGTTCTAACTACTAAAGTTGTTCTCTTTACAGAACAGATGTCTAATAAAATGTTTAGTCATAAAATATGTGGCTGGCTAGAGGCTCCCTATCCCTTGATTATAAGCAGGTGCTACCTTTGGGGATATTTACTTGAAATATTAATACTTTGGTACTTGTCAGTGTTCCTGGCGTATATTTTTACTTTTGGGATTGGTAGGGACCCAAGGTGGGGAAAAACAGTCTGTAATTACTACCTCTTAACCTAAAGACAAATTGTTATGTTCTTGGAGTAAGTGAAATCTGTTGGAAGGAGTTTTCAGCACGAATTTTTTTTTAGTATCGTTTCTGTGCTTTAAAAGTACTGATTCTAGCACAGACTCAGGAAGATGGGCCAGTGGAACAAGGCGTCTCCAGGAAGTTGGTTCTACTCAGTCCTGACCTTCCCTTCCTCCCAGACTAGCAGGCCTATTTCTTTCCCAAGAATACACATCTTGCCTGTTTTGTTTTTTGCCATGTTTACTTTTTTTTGGTCATGTATAAGCAATAAAGCTGTTTTTCTGTTCTTCACCTTTCTCAACCCCAATTTCTCTTCTATATTTGGCTTAGGATGGCCCTTCAAAACCTAAGATCTAAAAAAAAAACCAAACAAACAAAAAAAACAAAACCTAAGATCTCTCATGTGCACTACTGGTCTTGGAACAAACTCCTAGTGTTCCTGCCAATCAGAGATCTCTATATTAAATCCTAAAATGGGATTAAGAAAAAAAAAAAAAAGAGTTGGAGAAGTCACATTTATTGAATAATTGTGATAAAACATGGAATTTCTGAATTCCAAATAAATAAATTTCACTTCTTGAACATTTGATCTGTTACTTTTTAGCACCAATAACAGCCTCAAGTTCACCTGATGACAGGCTGACGACCATCCCCCACTGGCCCTTTAATCTGCCTAACAAGTCCTTTGCCTCTGTCATCCTCCCAGGGGATGGCCTACTGCCCTCCTTTCTGGACAATCTGGGCAAACCGGCTGGTGATGGCAAGAGTAGTGTCAATGAAGCGGTCCACACAGCTCGAAAGACAATTCTCCGTGCGAGAGTCTAGGCGATTCCCTGGCTTCTCCACACATTTATCCCAGCACAGCTCCATGAAGTGATGCACCTTAAGAGGAAAGAAAATTAGTAACCACGGCTGTCTGCATTTACTTCCTTGAAGGCCAACTGCCTATTTTTCCCCAATTGTGTTAAGTTCATAATCAGACTAAATTTTCAGGCCGGGTTATGTTTTCTATTTCCAAGTGGCACCAGTGTAAGCTGGCAAGGTATGGTACCAATTTCCTCCAAACCACTGCTCTCTTGTCATTCCAAACCTATCCCTTAGGCTAGTTCTTAAGTTCCAAACCTTTTGGGGGTCATGGACATCTTTGTGAATCCAATGAAGGTTAATGGATCCACTCTCCATTAGAAAAATGCACATACGGGCACAGAAAATGTGTTCTTGCTGTTTAATTCTCCGAGAACCGACCCCCAGCCCCCAAAGGCGGGGGGGGGGGGAACCATTTACTGACGCCTTTGTCTTGGGAGACTGGGTAGTAGGCTGCCAGTCCACACTTTCTGCGGTCCTAAGATGGGGCTGTCATCTCGGTTCGAGGCGTGGTCAACCCGCCAGCCACGCTGCTAGTAAGGGGCCACGCCGGGTTCGAACCCCGCCGCCGGGGCTCCACAACACCTGTCCTAAACCACAGTCCAGACTACTTCGGAGCCCGCCTTTCTCAACGGACGTTCCGCGGCTCTGTCGTTCTCAAACTCCTTACCGCATAGGATCTGTAGTGAGGCAGCCGGCGACTGCAGACGCAAGGCCGGCAGCGGATGGGTGCCTCGTCCAGGGCCGCGCGCCCGTAGGGGGCAAAGGCAGGACCAGAGCCAGAGCTTCCGAACGCCACGCCCAGCGAGCTCGCCGCCGAACCAGGTGCCGGTGCCCTGGCGCCGCCCGAACCTTCCTCTCGGCTTTACCCTTTCTCCCTAGCGGGCCCCGAGCACTGCGGCTCGCCGGCGGCTGGGGCGCCACGCCTCGTTTCTCTCTGGGAAGAAGTGGGCGCAGCAGGAGCGAGCCCCAGGCCGCCCCCGGGGTGAGGTCGCGGGCTCCGCTCGTTTTTCCCTAGCGGCTGTCACTTCACGGGCTGGGAAGAGTCTGAAAATTCAACTTGTGCCTCAGCCTCCTGTCTCTCCCCCCGGGCCCTGTCCCCGCACCTGTGCAGTGAACTGCGCCTTCTGCTGTTCGGCCGCCACCAGGCGCTGCAACTCCGCCTCGTCCGCCTCCCCCAGCTCCGCCATCGTCCGCCTGCAGCGCGGGGCCTCCCGCCGAGCGTGTGCGCGCATGTGCGGCGGGCGCGCGCCAGCTCCCGACTTCCGGTTCACGCGGCGTTTCCCTTCGTGGTCGGTGGGTGGGAGTTTGCGAGCGACTGCTTCCGGGTTGCTGGGTGACCTTGAGCCTTCAGGAGGGAGATGGCGAGTCTCTGGAGGCTGAGCGTCCTGGGCGGAGCTCGAGGAGGCCGAGGTGAGGGGTCCTAGCAGCGGGAGGGTCTTCGCGCCGCCTCCAGCCGGGGGAGGGAGGCTTCTGAAGCAGGGAATCCGTCCGCGGTCCCGTTGGCCGATCTGGCTCCTGTCTACACCACAGCAATAACCCCCGTTGTCTACGCGCCCGGATGTTTTCCGGAGCTCGCATCTCCCCCGCTCCGGGCAGACACGGCGGTGGGGTCATCTGGAAGAGCCCCTGGGAGTTACAGTCCTCCTGAGGCTGTTCCTAAGAGTTGTCTTTTTTTCTCCCCATTCACTGTCCTTATAACGCGCATCAGAAAAATGTGGGCTTAGGCTCTAAGCCCCTGGCCTTGCCCATTGACCCTGGATTGGCGGAGAGCGGGTTCCGGAAATCAGTTCGATAATCCATTGAACTGGGCATTTTTCTTATACCAGGCACCGTGGTAGGGATGGGATACACATGTGTATGGAACATAGGCCCTGCCCACGAAGAGTTTTCATTTTTATAGGGAAAACACATACAAATGTGATTTAACAAAGCCAAAAACCGCTGTGTTGCACATAAATTGTTATGCCAGTCCAGAGGAAGAAAATACTTGGCTTTCTAGTTTTGGAAGAATTACCCTGTCTTGGTTCCTGAAGGAGCTGTGTGTGTCTTGAGGATAAGGAAGGTCACAGAAGGAAGGGCATGACTGTTGGAACTACTGGGGTCAGTAAAAGTGATGATGAAGGATGTAGAAACTGCGAGGCAGGAGAGGGAACAGACTGGATGTTATTAGAGCACGAAGCTCAAGGTGAGGAATGAGAGATGAATCTGGAAAAGTGGACTGGAATCAAATCGTGGAAGAACTTGCCTCGATAAGGAATGTGCGTTTACCCGATGTGAACGGGACCACTGAAAGATTGGACATAGAGTTGCAGTTTGTTATTTATTTATTTTTAAGATTTTATTAATTTATTCATGAAAGACAGAGAGAGAGGCAGAGACACAGGCAGAGGGAGAAGCAGGCTCCCTGTGGGGAGCCGGATGCGGAACTGGATCCCAGGACCCCCAGGATGATGAAATGAGCCAGAGGCAGATAGGTGCTCAACGGGGAGCCACCCAGGCATCCCAGAGTTGCAGTTTAGAGTGGCCATTTGGGTAACACTGTGGTAGATGGCCATCATAGGAGATGGGACGGGCTAAGACACAAGTCCAGGAGATGACATAGGACACTGTTATAGTAGGGCAGGTAAGGATTGTGAGGTCCTAAACATGGAAAGTAGTACAAAAAAGAGCAGGTCGTCTCAAGAAATGTTAAGGAGATATGTTGATATGATTTGGTGATTGAGAGTTGAAGGGAGAGGGGCGTTTTATGTGACTTCCAGATTTGGGGGTTAGGTCAAGAATGGCTGGGATGTCACTAGATAATGTGGGGGAGCATGCAAATGGAAGACAAGTTGGGTTGAGAAAGAAAGTTGAAGAATGATTTTCATTTTTGGTGTGGCGAGTTTGAGAATCTTGTAGGATATCTCAGAGGAGAGGCCCAGCAGGCACTTCAACTTCTCAAACACTGGAGAAATAGCAGGGCTGCTGATATAGAACTGGGTGTCATCAGCTTATAGGCAGCATAAACTGAGTGGCAAAATGGCCAAGGGTGGGCTTAGGATGTGAGGAGAGCAATGGGATGCTGGGAAAACATTTAAGAGTGAATGCAAGAGGAGACTGATTTTCAACAGAGTATTAATAAGTAAGTGCTACTATTTTCATTTTACAGATGAGGACACTGAGGCTTAGAAAGACTGTTTAACTTAATTGCTCATCACCTCCCACCTAGTAAGTGGTGATTTGTGTGAACTTAGGTCTGCCTATTTTTTTAACCAAGAGACAGGATCCAAAGGGGGACAGAAAAAGATGGGTTCAAGAGTACAAGTGGAGGGGCGCCCAGGTGGCTCAGTCAGCTAAGTGTCCGACTCTTGATTTCAGCTTGAGACATGATCTCAGGGTTGTGAGATTGAGCCCCACATCTGGCGTATGCTGGGCTTAGAGCCTGCTAAAGATTGTCTCTCTCTCCCCCTCTGCCTTCTCCCCACTCCCAAAAAGAGTACAAGTAGAGAGGAGCACCTGGATGGCTCAGTCAGTAGAGCATGCAACTCTCGATTTGGGGTTGTGAGTTGAAGCCCCACATTTAGTGTAGAGATCACTTAAAAATAAAATCTTAAAAAAAAAAAAAAAAAAAAGGACATGGAGAAACTGATCTTGAAAAGGAAGATAGCAATAGATGTTTTTCCCAAACTAGACTGAATTCCTTGAGGACAAAGGCTGTCTTTGTCTCTTGCTCTTATATGTCGTAAATGTTTGTTGGGTGAATGCATGGAAAGAGAAAGGAGCTTTAATTTACTTTTTAAAATTCGTAAGAGTGCAGCCGTTTTTACATAAATGGTTCATTGAATTTTTTTCTTTTTAAATCTTTCAAGGGCTACTTAGTGTGACCTCTTAGCAGCCCAGGGAAATAGATACTGTTCTCATTTGCAGAGGAGATGTTATGCCCCCTTTGAGATTAAGTAGCTTGCCTGTGGTTATTTAGAAAGTCTGTCAGGCCTGTTAAAAGAGAAGTGTTTATGACCTCCCTAATGTCTCTTTCCTCAGCTCTGTTTCTCCGAATCCCAGTGGTCAGACCTGCTCATGTTTCAGCATTTCTCCAGGACCAGCCTGCCCCAGGATGGTGTAGAACCCAGCACATTCACCTGTCACCCAACCACTACTGTATGTTTTTTTTTCATTGCTGCTGCTTCTTGGGCTCTGGCCCTCTACATCTGGCCAAATTTTCATGCCTTTGGCAGGACTGTGGAGCAGAACTCTTATGTCCACCTCTGTCAAATGAAGACCTACCTAGCCAGTGCCTTTGGGCAGACAATGCTACTAGCATGGTTGAGTGATGCCATTTAGAGTCATAGAGACCCTTCTGATCTAAGTTCTACATTTTCAGTTTTTTTAAAAAGAAAATCACTCTGTAGGAAGAGTCTGTACAATGTAGTTGATCTTATTTATTTAGCTGATAGGAGCCAGATACAAATAATTTTAGAATAGTAGAAAATTTAAAAAGACATATATATTTATAGCTAAAATTGACTTGCCTATTTTTATTTAGGTCCATATTAAAATCACATGGCTTTTTTATGACTATTATAGAAAATTTGTAGATGAATAATGAGTTAACTGTTATTTTCAGTTTTAAAGTCTGGAAAGATCTGTATTTTGCAGAGATAAGACTTCTCTTGATTCTTAAGTCAACAGCTTACATATAGTCGTATCTGAGTTATGAGAAGTTAGGCAAGTACACTTTTTCTGCTCTTTAGAATTATTTTATTATCTTTGAAAAAGTTTTGTTTCTCTATTCCTTTGCTAAGTTCAGTTAAATTTAGGAGAGTGGTTTTAATTTGGGGTGTGTGGACTGAAGGAAAGCACTTGATATTATAAGTATAGTTTCTATCAATGTATCCATGTGCATTTTTCTGGGGAGCAGCTCCATCCTTCCATTAGATTCTGTAACCAAAATAAGATAGAGGCTCTCAAAGAAATGTTTAAAGCCCATTTTTTTTCTCACTTATTTAAAAGAAGTTCTCCTGTTCCATATTTGTTTTGGGCTATTTATAAGTAATGGGACAGAAGGACCGTAATCCTAAAAGTTCATAACAGAACTTTTTGAATTGGCTGGTTTAATTTTGTTTTGGAAGGATTTTTATTATTACCTTATTTCTAATTCTAAAGATTAGAAAGTGCAAATAAAAGAGTAATGTTTTAAAGGAATTCTTCAGGTGGTACTAACTTATATTATTCATAAGGTATCTGTCTAAATCACTAAAATTTGAGATTGGTAATTCCACAAAGATATTTTGTTCACCTTCTTGCCTGTCAACAAAGTGGGTCAGTCTTATAATCAGTCTCTGTTGGCACCAAGACACCTTGTGCTAAAGAACTTCAAAGAAAGGAAGTAGCATCTTTCTCAAGTACTTTCTTTATCCTACTCTCTTTATGCTCAGAACGAAGTCTTATATGCATGCTGTTTGCCATTCTGTCAGCTGGGTTATTTTGTGGCAAACATTGAATCTGAGAGATGTGTGTTTCCCCCTTTCAACTCTTATGAATCTGGTTCCTCATTTCTGTAGCTGGTTCCAAGGCTGCATCTCTCCACTGGACTGGTGAGAGGGTTGTCAGTGTTTTGCTCCTGGGCCTAATTCCAGCTGCTTATTTGAATCCTGGCTCTGCGATGGACTACTCCCTGGCTGCAGCCCTCACTCTCCACAGTCACTGGCAAGTACAGCAGGCCCTTCATTGTTACGTTGTCTGCTCAGTTTATTTGCTGTGAGCCTGTCTCATTACTGCATATGAGGGAGAAGTTGATTGAGATACTCAGACCTGGAGACAACTTTAAAACATATAGAGAATATTTATATGCTCTGATTTATATGTCCACTTGCCTATTCAATGTCTTCACTTCCATATCTAATAGACATTTTGAATATAGCATGTTATAATACTCAGTCCCCGATCTCCCCCAGATCTCCTCCTCTGGCACTCTTGCTCATCTGACTTAAAGGTTTTTCCATTCTTCCAATTGTTCATGCCCAAAACCTGGTCATCATCTTTGAATTCAGTAGTAGTCTCTTAACTGGTCCTCCTTCTGTCTGTTTCAACACAGCAGCCCCCATGATCCTGTTAAAATATTAAGTCAAATCAAGACATTTTCCTTCTCAAAACACTTTCCCGTCTTTTAACCTTCCCCAGACTGAAAGTCAGAATTCTTATGGTGGTCTACAGACCCAGTGTAGTCTGGCTCTGTTCCCACATCTCCAGCTACTTTCTTCTTCATTCACACTGGCTTTGA